GTTTAGGAAACGCAAAGCCCTAAACCCTAAACCCAAAGCCCTAAACCCTAAACCCTAAGCCCTAAACCCTGAACCCTAAACCCAAAACCCCAAGCCCTAAACCCTAAACCCTAAACCAACTCCCTAAACCTTAACCCTGCAACCCAAACCCTAGATGAGGCCCTTCGCAGTTCCTGGGATGCTTCTGTGCGGCTCTGAACTTCGAGGGCTGAGGGGACTTAGGGTTCAGGTCTTTAGGGTCTAGGGTTTAGGGGGACTTAGGGTTCAGGTCTTTAGGGTTTAGGGCTTAGGGGGACTTAGGGTTCAGGTCTTTGGGGTTTAGGGCTTAGGGGGACTTAGGGTTCAGGTCTTTGGGGTTTAGGGCTTAGGGGGACTTAGGGTTCAGGTCTTTGGGGTTTAGGGTTTAGGGTTTAGGGGGACTTTGGGTTCAGGTCTTCCTTTGGTTGGGAAACAAGTGCCCAGGTTATCGAGGTCATGTTTGAGGGCTCTTTCTCATCCGTCAAGATCGATGCTAAGAGCTTCAAACTCCGAGTCAGTAATTCAGTTACCCAGGTTTGGGTTTAGGGCTTAAGCTCCACGGTTTGGAGTTTAAGAGTTTGAGTTTAGCATCTAGGGTTGTACGGTTTAGGGTCTAGGGCTTAGGGTTAGTTTGAGGCCTTGAATGGGTTCACAATGGGTTACGTGGGTTTGGGTTGGGGTTTCCGTCGTTTAAACCCAGGGCGCAACAGGCTTCAAGTCTCGACACCTAAACTCTAAACCCTAAACCCTAACCTCTGACAAAGCGGGCCTCCAAAGCCACCCGACACAGTGCCATAGAGGCCCCCAAGCCCCACAGAATCCTATGTTCTTAAAGCTTATGGAAACTTTCCGCTAAAGAGAGAAAATATACCAAAACACAAAGAACTCTAGAAACTGCATAGAAATAGGCAGGCTTATGGGAACTATACCCTAAATCTGTAATCTTTACCGGACCGAATTCTCAGATCTCATCGTGCCTTGGAGTTCACCAGAGTACCTTCGGAATGTCTCATCAACACGGAGGCATTCGTGGAGTAGCTATCCTGGCACGGTAAGATGGTTAGTCTAGGGTTTGGGGTTTAGGGATCAACATGCAGGCAGTCGTAGAGTAATATAGGGGCCTTAGTAATTAGAATAGGGTTTTGGGGCCCACTATACTAAAACTATAATAAGGAACCCCCAAAATAGTGTAGGTAATTATTTAGACCCCTATATTAGCTATCCTGGCGCGGTAACACTCTAGGAGTTCAGGACTTGTGGGGTTACGGGCTTCTAATGGGGCTTACAAGCAGCTGATGTCCTCCAGGCGCTGCTCGTTGGCGAACAGCTGAATTCTTTCGATGCAGCACGAAGGGTCGGGCGAGATGCGGGGTTTAAGTGCTTAGGGTCTAAAGTTTAGGGGTTTAAGGCTAGGTTTAACGGGTTAGGGAAAGCCGATGCCCTTGATGGCTTGACTCGCCATTGGGCCATTTTCAACACCGAAACCCACATGCCAGTGCACGCAACCCAAAACGCTTCTCTTCTAACCAGGTAGTGTAAACCAGAGGGTCCCTCTACACTAACATTATGGACTTAGGTCCCAAAAGACCATCCTTATAATGGTTTTGGGGACCGAATTCCACAGTAGTAGCGTATATGGACCCTTTTGGACATGCAGCTGCTTTAGCATCATCCAGCTTCGAGAAGACTGTGACGAGCCAAAAAAAAAAGAAAGAAAGTGTGAAGCCACAAGCTTCCGGGAAGCACTTGATACAGGGGCCTTAATACAAGTAGAATAGGGTTTTGGGGTATATTATGCTAACAAAAATATAACAAGGAACCCCCAGGATAGTATTGATAATTGTTTAGGCCCTTATATTTACCCGAGACTCGGGCCCTCGACCGTGACATCTACATGCTATAGGGGGCCTCAATAATTAGAATAGGGTTTTGGGGCCCATTATACTATATTCATAATAAGGAACTCCCAAAATAATATTGGTAATTGTTCAGGCCCGTACATGACATGTAGGTAGCGAGGCAGATGTCAGGATCAGAAATCCAGGCGTCCTCCCGGGGATCTGGGTTGCGGCCTTGGCGGCAGCGTAGAGTTTTGCAGGTTTTGCATAGGGTTTAGGGTTTAGGGTGAGTGCAATCATAACCCTGAGCCCCTTTTTTTGATTTCTGTTGATCCCTATCCCCAAGCATCACTCGCACTGCCACAGACGAAGTCTAAGGCCACCAAGGTGCAGAACTCGTGCGCCTTCATGCTGTTCAGCTGGGCTGCAGCCAAATTCAGCTTGTCCGGTGCCGTGCCCACCTCTGCGAGTGGAAGACATTAACAGAATCTACGGGCTGGGGCTCAGGATTTGAAGCTCCGGAAGCCTTCGCGCCCTAAACCCTAAACCCTTCTTGCTAAGGGCTTAGCGTCCTCGTCCGGTTCGCCCCGGAGCTTGGCCAGGAAACGGGCAGGATCCGAAGGTACCTGGATCCGATTTAGGGTTTAGGGTTCAGGGCTTAGAGTTTGAGTTTTGGGCTTTGGGCTTAGGGTGTAGGGGGGGGGTACATCCGAGGTGATTTAGGGTTCATACTAGGATTCCGGATTCGGCTGTACAAGGTTAAGGTTTACGCGGGTTTTGCGTTTTGGGCTTGCGGGAGTTTGCCTTTGAGGCTTCGGGTTCCGCTCATCGAGCAGGCTTCTCTTCATTGGTTCTTGTCTTTCCAAACCCTCTTCCGCCTCTTCCTGTCCGTATTTCCATAGACGACTTATCCACGGAACACCAACCCGACTGCCTGCCTACCGCACATATGCACAGGTATACACATTCAACACATATACATTACCCTAACCTTCCAGGTACTACTATAGAGGGTACTAGAGCCCCTACTTAGAGGATCATGGGACTTCGTAAGTAGGGCTATAACTTATAGGCTGTAACTAAGGTAACTATACTGATAACGCCAACTAGGGGACTTATAACCTCACTTACTAA